AAATTACTTGATATCTGAGTGAGGATGACTCTCTTGGGTTACAACATTTGGAGGCCCCAGCGAGATCAACGGCGAGGTCCCCCTTTTCTGTGGGGTTGACCTCCTCAGACTACGCAGAGGCTGCCTCCTCACCCTCCGCACCTACATTCGTTCTGACTTTCGATTCGGCTAATTCGGATTAGGACTTCGGCCTCGAGGATCTGGGTAAGGGATTTCCCCTTCCTGTCTGTTTCGGTAGCTGGAGGGATCTGGGATTGTTGCCGGCGGGATGCCGGGATGCCGCTTAACCGCACTTCCCCCTCAGGGTCGGGACTCCGACTCCTGACCTGGGAAACCAGTCTGTTTCAATCTGGCACTTTTGGGTGCGTCTGTTCTAAAATTGGTATTTTTTGTCTTGACCGAGGTTGTCTGTCTATTTGTGTTACGTGTTCTCTGCTGCTCTAACTGTTTTGCTTTCGGTAGGATGGGACATGGAAATTCTTCCCCCCAGACTCCCCTGGAATGTGTGCTTGCTAACTTTTCTGATTGCTTTAAGCGCTCCTGTGACTATGAAAAAGCCTGCGATCCTGGTTTCCTGAGAACACTCTGTGAACTTGAATAGCCTGCCTAAGGGGTTAATTGGCCACCCGAAGGTAGTTTCAATTTGCAATTGGCTTTTATGGTCCGTCAGGAAATATACAGGAGCCTTGGTCACCTAGAACAAATGCCATATATTAATATTTGAATTGATATAACTACTGACAAACCCAATTATAGTAAGAAATGTCAGTATCCAGAGGTTCAAATGAAAGGAAAAAAGTTTTGTTAACAATGCCTCAGCCTGCCCTGAAGGACAGTTAACTCCTCCCAGCCCCCAAGGAAATTCTATCTTGCCCTTCAGGACCCCTCTTAAGAATATACTAAAATGGTAATTTACCTGAGTTTGCCTACTTTGGGTTCTTATTACAGAAAAACTAGAAGATAAATTTGGATCTGTTAATGATCTAACCCAATATCTGAATAGATATGGATATATTCAGATGTACTGGCTTCTTTGTAGTGAGGTCTCAATGCCTCTCTACAAGGCTTATTAACATTCTCACAGGTAAAGTGTTTAACCATTGAAGTGCCAGCCCGGTCCAGCTGCAGAAAGGGGCATATTCTTTCCATGCCAGCCTGGGCTGCTCCTCTGCAGCGGGTTTAGTAGCAGCTAGTTTCCAACAGGCTTCTCTGAACTTCAGGTAGTTAAATATAAGGATCCCAGGCACGGGTACAAAGTACTCTTGGAGAGTTAAGAAAGACTCTGCCCCGCATAAACATATGTGTTAAGATGTTGCTCCCCTTTCCTGCATCCTTTTGTAAACCTGGGGTCAGGGGAAATGTTCCCATTCCTCTGCCCATGGTAGGACCCAAATATTGTTGGGGGAAGGGCTTCCTTAGACACTTTTCACCATGTTCTCCTGTTAGGACTATTGGCCCAATTGGCTGAATTAGCAAAGGTAATAGTAGCAGACTTAAGGGAAACAGGACACACGGAACAGGATCACCCTAGGAAGGGAAACATGAGGAAGGGTCAGGATAGCAGGCCTAGGTCCCGATTAGGAATAGAAAAGACAAGGGCAAAGTCAGGTATAGAGGAACAAAATAAAAAGCAGTCCTTAATTTAGAAAAATGACAGGGCTAGGGCTCCTTCCAGCTGAGCCCTCTAGAGCCCAGAATAATACAAGACAATAGGGGACAAACTAGTTAGTTTCCTGGTAGATACTGGTGCAGCAGACTCAGTCCTGACCGAGCCAATGGGACCCTAACCTACCCCTAGACTTCAAAGAGGACTATAGACCTTGGGGAAAATATTGTGACTCATTCGTTTCTGTTCCTGCCGGAATGCCCATATCCCCTACTCAGACATGATCTACTCCAGAGATCATTCAATTGCTGGCCACTGCCACTCCAGGCCAGCCCTCACATCAAGTTCCCCAGGATATTGCCATCAATCCTACCAGCCTGCCTCCTGCATGATGACCCGGAGAAACCTCTGCAGAACTGCCTGGAGGCAATGGACACTGCAGATGGCCACCCAGACCTCAAGGATGACCCACTGCCATCATCAGATGAGGTATTATTCACGGATGGGAGCAGCTATGTCCAGGAAGAAATCAGGTATGCTGGGACAGCAGGAGTAACTCTGGACCGTGTCATTTGGTTTCAGTCATTAAACAGAGGAACTTCAGCCCAAGGGGCTGAACTCATAGCCCTAATCCAGGCTTTCTGATGAGACAAGGGGAAACCATACTGCAAATAAGGAAGCTCAACATATGGCCCTAAAACCAGTGGGGACCTATCCAGATATCAGTCACCTTGCCAAACACAAGTTTGCCTCTGACTCCTACTTACACTAGGTCAGAAAATGACTTAACCAAGAAAAAACAAGCCATGAAAAAAAACAACAGATAGTAGACACTGCCTGATGGGAGGTTATTAATCCCGGAGGCTGTAGGTCGGACTTTAATCAACCAGCTGCACCAGACTACCCAGTTAGGTTATACCAAGCTTACTGAACTCCTGAGAGGCAGGCAATGTCCAGTAAGGTCACAGGGCAAAGGAGAAGGCAGAGAAGCAGGGATGTATAGGTCTAAGTAAGGAGGAGGAGAAGAAAAGCTAGGGGATGTGCAGACAGTAGATAGATTGAACAAGCTCTCAGATTCATGTCAGGGGAGGGACTAAGAAAGTCGCAGAGGGTCTGTGTAAGTTGAAAAAGGATTGTGTAAGTCACAGAGGGTCTGTATAAGTTGAAAAAAAGTTATAGACAGGAAAAAAATTTTTAAAAGGATTATGCAGAGGAAATAAAAAGATAAGGAAGGATAAGAGAAAGGGACATACATATTACAGGAAGACAGGACATTGGAGGGCAGGTAAAGCACATGAACAGGACTTTAGAAACCAGTGAAAACTGGACCACTCTGCTCCCCCTCGCCCTCTTACAGTTCTTGCAGGCTCTGCAGTTTTCCCAGAAGACCTTTCATAAACACATCTGCAATGCCCTGCCTGTGCCCACCTCAAACCCTGCGCACCCTTTCCAGCCTGGGGACTCAATATAGGTAAAGAAATTCACCACCCAGAGGCTAACTCCGGCCTAGAAGGGACCCATACACTGTCATCCTGCCTGCACCAACGGCTGTCAAGGTCAACGGCATCCTGGTCTGGCTGCACCATTCCTGGCAGAAGGCGGAAAAAGCGGAATGGACAGTGCAGTCCTCTCCAGATCCTTAAAAATGAGACTCTTGCATTTATCAGGACTCTAATTTTTCTGATTATAACTGTACAGGGGAATCTTTATAAATCTAGACCCCAATAAAACTGGGAACTTAAAAATAAAATATTAGGGAAAATCTTAAAAATGTCACCACAAAGGGGATGTATTAACTCCATTCTGACCTACACGTTACTACACATACACACCCTAGCAGACTTTCTTTGTAAACATAAGGGCCTTGAGAAACCCAAAGAAAAATATAAAAATAAGGGGTTCATAATAGCCTTGGGGAACTCAGAGGAACCATGAAAAAGAAAGAGATTAATAATTGCCCTGACCTAACAAGCTCCTCTCTCCCCCTTCTCTGTATCAACCTCCCTTAACGGTGCCAAAAGCAGCGCCAAGAGAATGTAGTTTTTTTCTGTAGTTTGTGCCTTTAAAAACAGGCAACAAAGAAGGCAGGTTACTGAGGATTTGGGGAATGCCCCTCCAGCCCACCCATGTAATAAAGTGCTCCTTTACAATTCGGCTATATGTCTCTAGTTATCTCGCTGACACCTTACAACATTTAGAGCACTAAGGGAAGCTTGCTGTTTTTATGCCAATAGATCAAGAGTCATCAGAGAGAGTATTCAGGTTCTTAGGAAGCACCTCGCAGAACAAGCCAGAAGCGAAGAGGCCTCTCGTAGCTAGTTCGAAGACCTTTATAACTGGTCCCCCTGGCTCACTACTCTTCTCTCTGCTCTAGCAGGCCCCTCATACTCCTATTTCTAGGACTATTTCTGTGGACCTATAATAATAAACAAATTAATAGCTTTCATAAGAGAGAGGGTCAAATCTGTCAAATTATTAGTCCTGGCCTCTTATTACCAAAGGTTGCCATTAGATCAAAGATTTGATCTGTACATAAAACCAGTGGGGAATGTTATAACCCAGTAATTCTCCATCTGCTAGAAGAAGGAACCTCTCCTGGGTTCCTTGAGCCCAAGTTGTTTTTACAAAAATTCTTGAAGAGAAAGGGATACATCAGCCATGACCACAAGGATATTAACCATGAACTTAACTAATCAGGAGATGCCAGACGGGACAATGAGGCATTCAAGGCTAAGGTCTAGTAAATGTTAAGAAATATAAAATAAACAACTTGTACAGCTACTAACTGCTGATATCTGCTTCTGTGCACATAGCTTGCTTGCTCTGCTAAACTCTTGAGTAACCCCTGTCCTATATAAGCAACCCTCCCCCTGAGCTCGAGGCTGCAGTTCTCTGTATAGGTTGGCTGCAGTCCCTGAGCAGGTAATAAAGCTCCTAATATTCAAAATTACTTGATATCTGAGTGAGGATGACTCTCCTGGGTTACAACACCTACCTCCTGTCTAATCCTGAAGTTCTGTTCACTGAGCTCCAACCCAGAGGCCAAATCCTCTACAAGCTCAGAGGCCTTTGGTTGTACCCCAGACGCAAGAATCACACTTGGACATACTATTCCTGCAGAAACTTTATTTATGGGACTCAACTTGGCTATCCCAGTGCTACCACCAATCCGACAGCCTCGACAGGGTGATCTACACCCCATCCTTGGGGACCCAAGAGCACTCATTTTTTGTGTGGTATTATTTGTTTTTTGTGTTTTGTTTTGTTTTGTTTTGTTTTTATTGAAAGAGAGAGATCGATTTGTTGTTCCACTTATTTATGAATTCATTTGTTGATTCTTGTATGTGCCCTGACCTGGGATCCAACCATAACCTTGACATTTGGGGATGGCGCTCTAACCAGAAGTATTAGTGGTGTTCTCTACCCGAGGATAATCCCACTTAAAACCAATGCCGGTGATGCCAAGGAGCTGACGCTGGCCAAAGAGTCCTGTGAGCACCTTGTCAATCTCACTAGGGTAGACGATGAAGCTGCTTCCATCATCCTTCCCAAATGTGGCCCAGCGCCCAGTGCTGGTGTATAGAATCAGGTGGCGGAGGTAAACCTTGTACGAGCCATAGGCGCCTATGATGTACTCATTCGGCTGCAGGATGAATTCCTGGGAATGCCCACCTGAGACACCATATAGTTCGCTCCAGGAGGATCCATACCTCAGCTGAATACTGGGAGAAAGGGAGAACTTTGAACACTCCGGATTCAGACTGACTCACCACTCCTCAGGTCCTCTATCCCCCACACTACCCCTCCCCCATCCATCAGCAAGAATAGTCTTGTCACTGTACATAAGTCCCTGAGTACATGGCTTAGGGTTCCTGAGACAGACACGCTGGTCTCAAACTCCTGCTCTGTTGCTTTTGGGCTCTGTGGTCTTGGGCTTGCTGCCCAGCCTCTCCGGGCCTCAGTTTCTTCATCTGCAAAGTGGGAGCGATTGTTGGGAGCAGACACTGAGATCATCTGTAAGGAGAGCTCTGAGAAATGCCTGGTCACCATGACACTCGGGTGGTGCCAGCTGTCATCCTTGCTCAGAGCAGGGAGCTAGCTGTTCCCCAGCCAAGCTTGGGTTTTCTGAGTCCAAGTCACTCCAACTAGATCAGGTCGCAGGCCTGAGAAGCAAATGATTTCTCACATTCACCTGGGGGAATTCCACTAGCTTTGCTCCTCTGAGCTTATCTGTGTCCTTCCTCCCATGTGGTTCCTCTCCCAGAGCCTCCTCCTCCACGGCTCCCTGCCCATACTCTGTCTTCTTCGGTAACCTGGCTGCTCTGCCCCATTCCCCCTCCTACTCACCTCCTAAATATGCCTATAGGACTTATGGACACCCGAATCCCAGTTATATCGTTTTCATAGTCTTCAGAGGTACTGAAGTACGTGCCTCCTCCTTTCCCAAACATCTCTAGATGGACGAAAAAACAGATGGGGGAGAGAACAAAAGTCACACGGTAATATATAGGTTATCTTTTTGCAGAACTGAACAAAGCCCCTCCAGGCAGATGGGATGGCCCTGCGACTAGAGTTAGTCAGGGGCTGGGCCCAGACCCAGGGGTGTTCTAGGAGGAGGTGAAGGTGGCCACCAGGGGAATGGGCTCCAGGAAGGCAGACCCAGCCAGACTTACGCTCTGCCCAGCAGGTGGTGCTCCACAGGATGGTGAGGGTCAGCCACAGCAGCATGGTTTCTGGCTTGTGAGTCCCAAGGCTCCTGGGGAGAAGGGACAGTTCACCTGACTCTCAGAGAGGGGCCCTGCCTGACCTTGTCGGGCCCCATCCATGGGAAGGGAGCACCGCCCCACCTGGCCAGGAAATTCTTCTTGCCCAGTCCTTGCACTGGAGAGTCTTGCATCTGGGCTCCCTCCACCTGACCTTTTATACCCTCCCAGGTCTTGTGGGCCTCCATCCAGAAGGAAAGAGTATGGATCACCCTGGGGACAGAAAGGAAGCCCCAGAGCCATCCTGGGTGAGGCTCCCGGACACGTCGTGCTTGTTGTCTTGGCCCCAGGGCCTACACAAACAAAACTGTGACAGGGATTTTGTTGTCACCTCTGAGTCTTTTTTCTCAGCACATGAACTAGATCTTGACTTCAGAGGTGGGGGAGGTTCACTGACAGCCCTTCCTAGGTTGGCCAGACAGGTTTCAACCCTACCAGGGACTATAGGTGGAATGTCCACTGAAGGTTCGTGGAGCCCAGGGCTCCTGCCTTTTGCACACTTGGGTTCAGGACCTCATTCAGGTCTGGGCGGAGCCCAGTGTCCCTTGGGCTTTCAAGAGTTCAGATCAAGCTCCCTACTAACTCTCAGAGAGCCAGAGAGGACTATTCAATTCTTTGTGCCTGGTGGAACAGATACCCCAGGTGCTGGCCTTCCAGGGTCTGTCACTTGGAAATTGTCTGTAATCTTTCCTCTGTGCCTGGTCTGAGGTTGATTATGGCATGGGTGCTAGAGCCAGATCATGTCCAATCCTGAGTTTTATACTTACTAGTTATGCAATTTGTAGAGTGTACATCACCTCTGTGTGCCTCGATTTATCTGATATATGTGGATAACAGTAAAACCTACTCACAGGATGTTATGGGAACTCAACAAGATGCTTCTCCAGCTAAGGGCCTGAACACTGAAGACTTTGTACCATGAGGGCAGGTATATAAGGTTTTGCTTTGCAGCATCCTTTAAAATCACAGTTTAGAAACAGCACACATATATCTAGAGGTGACCCATTAAATAAATGATGGTGTTGTCTATGAAGTGGAATAGTACACAAGTGTGAAGAAGGAATGGGACACTCCTGCTGCACTGACACACTGCCCAAGGACAGAGGCTAGTGGAGACTTGAGGGTTTAGAATGTCCCCATTTGGTTACACAGAAAAAGAGAATGGCCTCATGTGTGCACAGGCAGACTTGTTCTGGGAGTGCTGGTTCACCAGGAACTAAAAACACTGGTTTCATTGGGATGGCAATGCTGGGAGGACTGAGAGATGGGGTGGAAGCCCTGTTTAGCGGGCACCTTTATTACCTAAGTTCCTAGGACGGAGTCAGCTACTATGCCTGCAGCCAAATCTGGTCCTCTTCCTGTTTCTGCACAGCCCATGAGCTAAGAATACCTTTTACATGTTTATTGATTTCAGAGATAGGAAGGGAGAGAGAGAGACAAACATGAATGAGAGAGAAACATTGATCAGCTGCCTCCTGAATGCCCCCTATTGGGGATCAAGCTCACAACCCCAGCATGTGTTCTGACCAGGAATCAAACCAGCAACCTCTTGGTGCATGGGACAATGCACAAACAACGGAGCCACACCAGCTTGGAGACATAATTAGATGTTTAGAAAAAATTCAAAAGAAAAATAGCATTTTGTGACACATAAACATTCCATAAAATTCCAGTGCCATCACCATCAATGAAGTGTTATCAGCACACAGCCCCACCTACTCATTTGCGTGCAGTCTGGGGCTGCTTTCAACTACAGGCAGAGCTGAGTCCTTGTGACAGATCTGAAGACTTAGAAAACCTAGAGTTGCAGCAGAAGGGGAAGTCAGAGAGACTTGAAACAGGAGAAGGACTCCAAGTGCTATTACTGGCTTTGAAGATGAACATAGCCAGAGGGACTAGGGGTAGGGGTTCTACAACTTCAAGAAACTGAATTTGCCTGGGCCGGTGTTGCTCAGTGGATTAAGCATCCTCCCTTGGACTGGGAGGTCCTGCCTGGTTCCATTGCCGGTCAGGGCACAAGCCTTGTTTTTGGGCTTGCTCCTCAGTAGGAGGCGTGCAGGAGGCATCTAAAAGGTCTGAGTCGGCGGGCGGGAGGCGAATGTAAAGCAAAATGGCTTTATTGCATGTGCCTGGGTGTAGGTGGGCTGAGCCGAGAAGGGTTCAGCCTCGAATTAGGATTGAGGTGTCGGTTATATACCCTACTTTTAGCTTCTGGCAGTTCCTGCTGATGTACTTTATCTGGCCCACTGTCCACCTTGCAGTAGGGCTGGTCTGGTATCTCGTCGGACATCTGCTGGGTTATCCATTGCCTTGAAGATACTTCAGACAAATCTTATCCGTACTCAACAAAAGGCTGAGCAAAGGTCATGCAAGCAACACAATTTCCACAGTTTTCACCTTTGCAAATGTTTACCTTTACCTTTTAAAATATTACTAACCCTTTCAGCATCCAATTGATGTTTCTCTCTCACATCAATGTTTCTAGTTCTCTCTCTCCCTTCCTCTCTCTCTAAAAAACCATATTAAAAAAGAAAGAAAGAAACTGCACTGTGGAAAACACTATATGGTGTTACCTCATAAAGTTAAAAATTAAACTGCCATTTGACCCAGTGATCCCACTTCTAGGAATATACCCTAAGAAACCTGAAACACCAATCAGAAAGAATATATGTACCCCTATGTTCATAGCAACACTATTTACAATAGCTAAGATCTGGAAACAACCCAAGTGTCCATTAGTAGATGAGTGGATGAAAAAGCTGTGGTACATGTACACAGTGGAAAACTATGCAGCTGTAAGAAAAAAAGATCTCTTATCCTTTGAGATGACATGGAGGGACCTAGCGAGTATTATGCTAAACGAAATAAGCCAAGCAGAAGAAAACAAATGTCACATGATCTCACTTATTTGTGGAATATAATGAACTAAACAAACTGATGAACAAAATTGACCCAGAGAGCCCCGGCCGGTTTGGCTGAGCGGTTAGAGCGTCGGCCTGCGGTCCAGAGAGACCCAGGTTCCCGCTACGGGTGCATACCCCGGTTGCAGTTTGTCCCCAGCCCTGGTTGGTTGTGTGGGTGGCAGCCACTCGATGTGTCCCTTTCATGTCGATGTTTCTCTCTCTCTCTCTCTCTTCCTCTCTCTCCCTCCCTCTCTATCTGAACAAAAAATGAAAAAATGTCCTCAGGTGAGGATAAAAAAAAATTGACCTAGAGACATTGAGGTGGGGTACAGACTGACAAACCTCAGAGGAGGGGGATTGAGGCGGGGAAGAGATGAACCACAGAACTTATATGCATGTGTGCATGACCAATGGACAACAAAGCTGGGGATGGGGTGGAGGGGATGGGGAGGGGACATCTATGCGGGAAAAAGGAGAAACATCTGAAACAAAAACAAACTAATGAAAGGAAGGAAGGAAGGAAGGAAGGAAGGAAGGAAGGAAGGAAGGAAGGAAGGAAGGAAGAAGGAAGAAGGAAGAAGGAAAGAGGAAAGAAGGAAAGAAGGAAGGAACTGAATTCTGCCAACAACCTGAATAAATATAGAAGTGGATTCTTTCCTGGTTGACCTGAGATACTTTGACTTCAGCCACCTGAGACCTCAAGCTAAGGCCCAGTCAGACTACGCTGGACATCTGACCAACAGGAACTGTGAGATAATAAATGTGTATTGTTTTGCTCTGGCCAGTTTGGCTCAGCAGTTGGAGTGTCGGCCTGCGGGCCAGAGAGTCCCGGGTTCGCTTCCCGCTAGGGGCACGTACAATAAAATAAAAAATAAAATAAAATAAAATATATTGTTTTAAGCTGCTACAAGAAAAAAGACAGAAAACCTAAACATGGCCCTTCACCCACAAAGTGAGCAGACCCCTGGTTATCCCTACTTCCCTCCTCTAGAACAGTCCCAGCCTGTCCATAGTACTGGCCACATGGAGCTTGGGGGATGGCAGAGAAGTTCCGTTTAACAACCACCCTTTTTGGGAGACCAGAGCAGGGCACGCTCTATCCTAAAAACTATCCCTTTCCTCTGGACCTGAACTAGTTTCCCTGGAGAGGCTCCTTGGGGTTCCCACCCCAGGCCCCAGGGGATTGCAGCCAAGATTCCAACTCCCTCCTCCCTTGATATATAAAAAGAATGCCGAGAAACATCCGATGTTCCAGAACACTACCCCAGGTGTCCAGGTTGAATCACCCTGGGAGTGGAGACACCCCTTGGTCTCCCTGCGATTATACGTACACAAGTAACCAAATCACATTGTCCTCTCCCTCTAAGGGCTGCCAGCCCCTCACCCATACGTCCCCTAGATAACCCTGCCTGTTAGAGACACCGGTGCTGACCCCGCCTCAGGAATCAGCCTGGCAGGCAACTCCCCAATAAAGTCCTCTTGCCTGAACCCAGGTGTGTTCCTCCTTCAGCCGACCTTTCATCTTGGTGCCGAAACCAGGAGGGGTGCCTGCCAGGACCTGCTGGATCGCCCTTTTCTCCCTTTACTCTCCCCCTGGGCTTGATCCGCCTCCTGGCTGCCCCTCCTGGACCTGCCCAGAGGACGCACTCTCTCCAGGGTTCTCCACCCCTGCCACTGCCGACTGTACAAACACCACCCGCCTGACTTCTCCTCCTACGGGTGAGTAATGGGGTCTCCTAGTCCAGGTCTCCCGTCTCTCTGTCAGCTTCCGTCCTCGAAAGTCCTAGTGCTAGGCCAGCAAGACCCTCTCCACCTTCGGGTCCTGATCCTCACTGATTCAGGGGGATGCCCAATTTGTGAGTGATCCTCCTCACTGGAGACTGGCCAGGGGAACAGGGATGCCCCTTCCCTTTGCCCTTCTCCTCCTAGGGACCCTCACACTCACCCTTTATAGCCTCCAACTCCACATCATGGGAACCTCGCAGTCTTTTCCTTCGAAGGACACTCCTTTGGGATGTCTCCTTCAGAATATTGAGTCTCTCGGTTTTCAAGATGTAGTCAA